ACAGTATTTGTAAGGTGCTCACTAGCACAGTACTCCTAAAACCCAACATCTAAAAAAAAACCACAGTAAAATGACCAACTGTACAACCCCCGCTCCTCTATATATTGCCATAATTGGCATATGAGTCAGCTGGGATGTGAAATAATAATGGATTGAATTTGGACAGCCACTATTTTAAGACAATGGACAGTAACCGAGGCTTCTTACTCTCAGAGGCACTGAACACATGCATCTCACTTGAAATTTAAGCAGCTCAGGTCGCTTCTCATTGTGGGAAAATACTATTTCCCATTGCTGGGCTTCAGAAAATCAAACTGAATTACTTTTCTCATAGAATATTTTAGAATACAAAATAGTGTTTTTAGTGGTTATTTTGATGCTAACTATCAATTTCTGCCTTGGTAGGGGGAAAAGAAATAAGAGATGGGAGAAAAATAATACGGACATACTGGAAGCAGAAATTACTTATCAGAGTAAAAGAACTGGAGTAGAAAATTCTCTTAACATACAGCATGAAATTACTCTGAAAACACTATCCTGACAGGGTTAATGCAAGGGAGATTAATTATGTGGAAGACTGTATTAAAATGGAACTAACTCTAGCAACCATTTCTCAAAAGCACCAGAAGCAAGTCAAAACTCTGAAAACGAGTTAAAGTTTTTTCTCAGCTCCCACTAGGCAAAAAAGCAAGAAAAATCCCTTCCCCCCCTTTTTTAAAACTTAGAAAGCCCCTGATGAGCTCATGCATATTGCCCCATGTAACAGATGTTGAGTGGAAAAAAAGGCCACCAAGTTCTAAAGGCATCATCAGCCTTCTCACCTGTAGGCATCTGTGGATTACAAATGGGAGAAGTGGTTTGCTAAAAATAAAATGTGTTATAAAGATAACAGGAGAAAGCTGAGATTTCCCCCCCCCCCTCAGGGTTGGAAGTCATAAACCTTTAAAAGTCCTGTATGCAAATAACATGTTCATACGCTTCCAAAGCTGAAATTACACCCCTGCAAGATAGATCTGGAGAAACTTTTCAGTTGGAAGAAGTTGACCTGTAACGAAGAACACTCTGATACAGGGAGAACTGGAGGCCTGAGAATACCAAAATGACACAAATTTTGAAAGGAAGTAAAATTCTAGTCACTCTGCCCTGGGAACACAGATGAAAACAGATTTTATAAGTCTCCTTGGTGAAAACTTTTTTGGAGGACTCTGTAGGAGTGAGGAGAGGGAGGAGAAAGAGAGCGCTCTTAAATGCCTGGGCAATGCAAAAAGAGAGAAACCAAAAAAGCTGGGCTTGTGATAATTTTTATGGATTCTGCTAAGGTTAGACATCTGTGATTGATTGTTTTTATTCCTGTTGACTGCTTAGTTCAGTCTAAGTCTTCAGTTTAGATATGTTTATATGTTAAGATGAGAAATGTAGAAGAGAGCCTCTGTGAGTCATTTTAGGCTGAAAATGTACAGCTGCTGTTTGAATGTGCACATCATAAAAAGCACCTATCACCCCTGCCTGTGTAAAAGCCCCTAAAGTGCTTCCTTTCCACTATTAGCACTTGCTGCTCAGTGACAAGGAAAGCAGTATGCACAGGAAGATGTCTAGATGACTATTGACTTTTTTTTTTCCCTCTGAGACACACCAAAATTTTTATATAGCAAATGGATTGCTTTTAAGAGGGTGCAAATCCAGGAGGAGGAAGAAAGTTTGAAAAAATGAGGGTGTTGCTTTGAAAAATCTCCACAGTTTTCTCGTTATTCCTTGTAGGGGAAGGCAGTGTAAGATGTCCCTGCGAGCAGAACCAATGAAGGTGTTTGCTGCTACTTTAAAGTCACATTCTGAGAAGTGATCCCCACTTCTTGTAAGAGTACCAGGAAGTTCATCTCCACAAGCAACAGTGGAGTGCTTCCATCAAGAAGTGCTTTGTTTCTCTCCCCCCTGGCTGTATCAGCATAGCTCGTTTGTGTAAAGGCATAGGCAAGAAGCAGAGGGGTTTGTCTGCGTGAGGGAATGCTGCATCTGTGCACACACAGTGATCGCAGGTGTTCAGTAAGTGCACTCAAAAAAAGTCAGCAAAGTTTTACTGATATTAGTAATTTAGAAAGATGTTTCCTTCTTTCATTGTATTCCATTTTCCGCATGACTCTCTAGACGTTTTCTTTCTTTGTGGGAGCTCGGTGCTTCGCCAGTACATTCAGTTTCTCTGCTGTGCCCAGGTAATATTTGTGGGTGCGCAAGGGCCGTGGTAATCTTCACTTTCCCTCTTCTCCTCACTGTTGTCCACTGCTCCCCCCCTCAAAAAAATGGCTTGACTTCTCTGGTCTAAAAGGGGGAGAATTTGGGTGCCGAAAGCAGGATGCAGGGTATCCCTGTGGGTGCAGATCTTCGCCAGATGTGGCTGTGAGAGCAGGCGAGGAGGAGGGAGCTGGGTTCTTGCAGCGGGGCAAGGGCTGCTGAGCCGGGGCAGGTTTGTTGGAGTGACGCCTCTGGCTGAGTCAGAGTTCCTTCATCAGTGCAGGAAGGTGAAGGACTCATTTCCCCACCACCTTCCTCATGCATTTGGGTTTGCCTGCCAGGCACCCCCAGCTGTGCCGACTGCTTTCAGGGCTGGAAACCTTCTGGGACTTTACTGAGGCAGCCAAAGATCCACCAGGAACAGAGGAGCAATGGAGTGCAGGGCTTCATCCTGCTTCAGGGAAAGCCAAACCAGACTGGACACACGTCCCTGACTACTTTTTAGTCATTATTTTTTAATTGGACTTCCTGTCCCAGTTTTCAATAAGACAGTTCTCCTGGGCAAAAGGAAAACAAATCATGCTAATTTTGCACATACATTTGACAGCTTCTCTTAAGGCTTTACACTGACCTTTTAACATCGTTACACCCGGATTTGGAGAAGAGCGCCCTCAAAGTTTTGGCAAAGGAATAGAGTCAGAGTGCTGAACAGGGGAAGTGACAGTCTGAGCATCCATACCCACAGTTTCTCAAGTGCTAAATTGTCTTTTTAGCAGCTGAAACATCTCTTCTGGGTGCAACGAGAGGCCTTCTTAATTTCACTCTAGTAACTAGTATAACATAAATTTTAAAACAGATGGCTACTAAGGAAAGAAAATGCTTTCCACCTTCCCACCTATGAATAGACTAGAGGATCAAAAGAAGTGGCTACTTGTAGAAGTCAGCAGAAAGTGGTCATGTTGATTACTTGAACTAATTAGCCACAGGTAACACTTCCTTCACTTGAGAGCCCAGTTTGAAATCCAAACCCGTTTTTTGGTAAGTTAATATTTAAGATAATTAAAGAGTTTTCCACATCTAACTGAAGTTATGGTCAGCATCCAAGCAATTTCACACAAAATCATGAAGACTGAATTAACCAGCCATTAAATATCCTCTCTGGCAGAAAAAAACCCAAACGTATAGCAATAAAAATAACTAGTTCTCAAATTATTTGAAAAATCTTTAAATGTGTGGTGTTAGCATTAACAGATACATTCAAATTGGTATTGAACTCCAGTTCAAAAGTGTTCAAGATAAATGACCATTCAGAATTAACCTCTTTCAAATATCTAAGACAAAATTAAAAATAAATTCTTCTAGTCAAGGTGTTTTGCATGCCGATTTAAAATGTGAATCAATCTGTAACTGGTAGGACTTTCAGTCCATGCAATGTGCTGCTAGTATGAGGATTTGGCAGTTTCTTTGTGTTGCACCTCATTCCCCACTAATCTCCTTTCCAAAAAGGTACCCTGCTGCCCCTTCTCATTCACAACTTGGCCTGTTCTTTTGCCAAGGACAACAGCATTGCTCCATTTCTTCCCAGGTGTAATTTTTTCCCCCTTCCTGATTATCCTTCACAGTGTATATTAAAGTCTTTTGTAAAATACAAAACAATTTATTTTTTTTAATTAAAGAGAAACAAGAACAGTCAATGTAGATTTCAGCTTACATGTTAAGACCTCCAACTCTTCAAGACAAGGACTGTTTAATTTTTTTCTATTACAGCTCCACACAGATAGTAACACACAAATAAAATAAATCATGAAAATATTCAAATCCTTCCAAACTATCAGCAGAAACTGGATTAAGTAAAGGTAGGCTGTCCTGCATAATAATGTTTCTAGGAGGGCATCTAGTTTTCCAGCCAACAAGCGTTGCATAGCTCCATTGTATAGATATCTCATATTCGGTGTATGCAAAGTATATACAAAATCCCCCAAAAAACATTGCTTAGAGGAAGGCAAACTAAAGCAGATATTTCCTTCTTGTTTTCCTGCCTTACTCCTAAAACAGAAAAAAACCCATGGTTTGGCCTCTGGTCCACAGTGCTTTCTTATATCATAAAAAGTGGCAGGACAGTGATAGCTAGCTTCTGCTGGCTAATAACAGAAAAAAAAACACAAAACCCAAGCACTATGCACTTAACAGTGCATTCCAAGAAATGGATCAGGGTGTAAATTCATTTGAAAGGGGTGGGATACATAGGCATCATCTACTAAGGAGAAAACGTAAGAACAAGATTATTTTAGAAAACAGGTATATGAATTTTTTTTTTCCTCTTTAAAGATGCATTAACACCATTCAGTTTGCAAGCAACAGAAGAGTGGCAAGAAATTAAGAAAAGCATCACTTGAATTAAGGAAGTTTGGACGATTATTATTCCTGGTTTAGAAAGGACAGATTTAGTTAAGTTATCTAAGGCAGAGAAACCTCTTCATGAAAATAATGATTTGCATTATAATTAGGCATATGAGGTCATTTGTTACAACTCAGTTGTAAGGGCCTGTTCTCAAGCAATAATGTTAAAATAATCAGTACCTGTAGTTGTAGAGTTGATGAAATTAAAACTAGTATTATCCAGTAATCTGAAGTAATGAACAACTTTAATAAGGTGGTAAATATCAATATATTTAGCAATAAAGTAATGATAATGATGTAACTTTGTGCTAGTAGTAAAACACACCTACAGTCCTCAAGAGATTTTTTTATAACTTGCTGTTCTTCTCTCCTAGGTGGTTGTCTTAATTACTGAAACACAGTGCAAAAATTATACTGAAGCTCTAATACACATAGCACACAATAAATTAATTACAAGGAGGATTATTGCTAAAAGGGAAATTAAGTGTAACCCGGATGAATACAGTTCAGGTGCTCAGTGTTGCAAGAAATGTGAACGTGGTGAGTATTGTAAGAAGACAGTGTTGAAAAGTCATTGAGAGTGGAAACCACAACTTGCATACTCCCTTTTTGCTAGGACAGCTAAGCACCATGCTGTGGTTTCCTGGATGCAGTGCTTCATTCTAGCTGTATCCTTCTCTGTTGCAGGGCATCAGACACTAAGAATATTTCTTGAGCTCAGTGTACCAATAACTTTTCACTAGAGATAGTAGTTCTCACAGTAGTTCTCATTCAGAAGCCAAGAATTGCACACACAGAAAGAGGTTAAAGAAGTGTAAGTGCAGGTTTGTGCCTACTACACTTCATATATTCATGGGGTTTCCACTTTTCTATGTACAGTTTTGTTTGGTGTGTCTTCTTTCAGTCCTAAATTGGAGGAAGAAGGGGGACAATCAGATTTTACATATACTGTGTTCCTGAAGAGCATATATATATATAAAAAGAAGATAGATTCTGTCCATATTTACAAATCAAGAAGTATTAGAGATTAAAAACAAAGCCTGACATAGATCTGAGAGTTGATGGCTTCTGTCCAAAGGTATTTCAAATCTTAATTCTTGTTTTCCTGTCTCTACAGGTTTTGTTAAAACCACTGACTGCCCAACAGATACTAGCAAACACTGTGTTTCATGTGAAAATGGAAAGGAGTACATAGATCACGTCAATGATGTGGATAAATGTTTGAGATGCTCTTCCTGTGACAGCATATTTGGTACGCCTATAGAAATAGCAACTCTAGCAATGACTTTTTTTGATACAGGATTTGACAGAAAAGTCTCCATGATTCCTGATTAGTGGGTAGCATGCAGAGTCAAATCTCATAAATTCCTTCATGTACTACCACTAAAACAAAGTCATAAGTTTATCCTCCAGTTCACTTTCATCGAGCACTAAGTAGGAAGAACAACAAGCTGTGCTGGTCCGTCATTTCTCCTTATGTCTGTGTTTGCTCAGCCAAAGCAGTCCTTGCAAAGCAGACCCTATATGAACAGGTTAGAGTCTAGTAAGAAAAGCTCTCTCTCTTCTTCACCTTCTATTTAAAATAAGAGGGATATTTAAAAGAAGCAGGGATGGGAGAATTCCCAATGGTTTCTTTAGTAGTTTTTCATGTAATTAATAATATTATTTAAAATTGGTGGAGCTGATAGATGTGTCTTTTATACATTCAAGATGCTGTGTGGGATATAGGGTCAAATCATGAGGCGTGCCCTACTGGGCCAGACCAGTAGTCCACCTACCCCAATATTCTGTGTTCAGCAGTGAAAGCAAGAGATGCTGTCTAGGTAAAACAAAATCAAATGTTTTTACCTTCTGTGTTCTGTTCCCTGCAAAGTAGATCAGCATCTGCAATTGTGGGAAGGGACATTAGAAGATCCACCCCTACCTAATTGTTCTAGTATCTATTTATGAGCCCTTTGTGCTTGAACCTGCTGGGGGACACCAGGTTCCAGAAATGCACTACCTATTGTATAAATATCCATCATAGATTATTTTTACCTACCAGTTCCACCAGGTGTCATGTAGTACTATTATATGTGGATTTAGGGAATGATAGTTCTGCATTCCTCATATCCAAAATCAAAGTTGGTGAGTGGAGAGACAGCTTTTAACTCCAATATGGTTGTACTCAGGTCACCTGCTAGAATATCAATCTTTAGTTCTTTTCCCTTCCTATAACACCTCCATGCGTATAGAATATTTTCCTCTCTTTACCTACTGTAATAAGCATTTTTTGGTGGGTAATGAAGTTGAGTACAGCAACAATTCAGTATTTTGTACAGTGCCACAAAAGAAACTATTAGTTAAACTGAAGGGGAGAAAAGAGTAATGGGATGACTAGTCACATTATTGCATGGACAATAATGTGGTTGAAGAGAAGCCAGCAGAAAACATTAGGCAAGAGAAAAATTACTACTAATGTTCCACGAGAAGCATTCTTAGGATCATTCATGTTTGGTATCTCCGTGAGTGGCTTCAGCATTAGAGGTTTCTCGTATTTTGGAAGCATGGCTTCCTGTTACAGCAGGGCACTGAATGTGATAACTCAAAAAATCCCTTCTATTTCTGTATGCCTATGAAAATAGCTTTCATAGTAGGCGGACACAGTAATTATTATTGTAGAAATAATTTTTCATAGGTGAAGGTATCTTCATCCTATACATCAAGAAGAGGAGAACATTAATTCACTTGTTTTGATACTCAAGAAGGGAATATATTAGCTAAAAACAGAGAATGGAATTCCTCACCACTGGAGGTCCTCAAGAAAAGATAAAACTTTTTGTCCTTCAGGGAGAGTAAAGAGACTGTCCTGAAACCAAGCACGGGGATGGGCTGTGCGACCTTCTGAGTTTCCTTCTGGCTTTACATTTCTGAATGGCAAAAAGCAGCTGACAACACTTGGCAGTGCCAAATCAGTCCTCTTCTAGCGAGTACTGTATGGTGTGATCAGTTTTCTGAGTTCTTGGCCAGCAGAGCTGTCTTTGCCACCTCCGTATTTCTGCTACTCCGGCAGCAGGGAGTGAGTTAAGTCTCACCAGTGCCAGCAGCAGTAGAGCTAAAAGTCTGAGGACAAGACTTTGTGAGCAGAGGCCTGCTTTTAAGGCCTAGTTTTTCAAACTAACACACTTTAAAAAAAATTTTTTAGGTTTGGAAGTTGCAAAGAACTGTACCCCAGAACAAAACACAGAATGCACCTGTGCAAAGAACCACTTTAGCAATTCTTCTGCGCCGTACACGCATTGCGATCGATGCACCCTGTAAGTTCACGCTTCATAGTTAAATGCGAAATTTTTAATATTGAATGTTGTCAGACTCTTTTCCAGCCAGTTTCAAGGCAGAGGCTAAGGTAATGTATAACGTGAGGGAAAACATACTAGCTTTCCTTTGCATTTAGTTTGTTGGGCTGACTTAGCTCAGTCAGCTTAACTTGGATCCGTGCAGGCTTGCCAAAGGCACACAGAAAAACTTATATACAGCCACTGATTCTGTATGTACTTTTCAAAAATGTAATCAAGTGTCCAAGCTTTTCTAGTATCTTTATGTGATCTGCTGTTACAGCTAGAAAATCATTTCCACACCTTTTTCCACTGCCATACCTTTCCTTACCGCTTCCATACCTATTAAATTCCAAGCTCAAATATCTAGATATATGAAATATTTAGCTTATAAAAAGTGTTAGAATATTTTGATTTGCACTCTTGACAGCATTTCTAAAGAGAGAAACAAATCTTGTATTTTTTGTTCATGTTTTGTGCAGATGTGAAAGTGGTATAACTGAAAAAGAATGTACTTCAACTTCAGACACTGTGTGTGGAGAGCAAGGTACTGTTTTAAAACCTGATATGGTTTAGAATCTGCTGCATTTTGAGAGGCTGTTGAAATTGTACTGTTCCGTATAATGACCCATACTGATTCCTGACAAATAAGGGCATCATACCTACTGGGCCCTGTAATGACCTGCAGTGCACAATTGCTCTTTTTCCTTCATCACTGTGCGGATGTAGAAGCTATTACTCTTTTTTTTTAGGGGTGACTTTAACAAAGAGGTAGCTTCTGCTATTAGGAGCCAACAGGAAGTCTCTTATAATCTGATGCAATCTTGTTCAAGATTTAGAGTGTTGCTGTACTGACTAGCTGAAAGGAGGTTGTAGCAAGGTGGACGTCGGGCTCTTTTCCAAAGTACCAAGCAATAGGACAAGAGGAAGCCACTTCAAGTTGTGCCAGGGGAGGTTTAGATTGGATATTAGGAAAAATTCTTCACCAAATGAGTTGTCGAGCACTGGAACAGGCTGCTCAGGGAAGTGGTTGAGTTGCCATCCCTGGAGGTATTTAAAAGACATGTGGATGTGGTGACAAGGTTTAGTGGTGGACAAGGCATTCCTAGGTTAACGATTGGACTGTGTAATCTTAAAGGTATTTTCCAACCTAAATGATTGTATGATTCTATGATTGCATTTCTTAATGTAATGTTTCCAATGTTCCAACAGGAAAAGGAGTGCTACCGTGGACCGCTGCTTTGATAACTGTGTTAGTGTTGGTAGTAGTAGCAGCACTAGCTGGAGTAATATTCTGGTGTAAGTGATTCCTTATTCAAATCATGCTTTGAATATGAAACTCAGCTGCTTACTCAGATGTAATTTTATATTCATATATACTCTGTCTTTTTTTTTTTGTTTCAGGCAAGAGAAAACAGAAGGGTCTTACTAGCAAGAGGATCCTAGGTGGAGCACTCCGCAAAACAGAGCCACCTTACGTAAGCATTATTGCTTAGATCACAAAAAATTGGGCTTCATGGAATGAACTTTGTTCCAGCTAAATTATGCTGGGACTCCCCAGCCATATGAATGCCTCTCTTCTATGACATTAATGAAGTAGATTTCATCAGGAGTATTCTGGGGAAAAGTAAGAGAAGCCTGTATTATTTCTTCAGAATTTGTTGACATGCCTCCTAAGATACACGACCAAGATTGAAACATCATGCATCATCAGGCCTCCACTGACACATGGTCCCTGTCCTCATACATACTTTTAGGCAATAGTAGTTGTGAGGTTATTCCTCAAGCTTACCTAAAACAAAGGAGGTCCGTCTGATCCAATTCTCTCGCTCATAAAACAGGGAAGAGAACTGTAAGAAAATTACAGAACTACCATGAAATGTGTTTATGCTCTTATACAAGGTTGGTGTTTTACAAAACTTGTTTCTACTCATTTCTTTCTTGCTTCTCTTTTCAGGAGAACGTACCTCTCATATACACAGGTAAGAGACAACTAATTTCTCAAAATTCAGCAGAAGAAAAAAAAAATACAGACGTGTAAATCCTATGCTTAAAAAAGGGTATTTTTGTGTAGACTCTGCCACTGCCTAGAGCTGTCACTCTAACACAACAGTAAATCCTTACCAAAGCAATGCTAGTACATATCATGCTTCTTAAGGCATTTAGTGTTTTTACAAAAGTTTTGCCTCGAGAGGAATTTCTGTTCTATAGGAAGTAATTACTAATTGACAACAGGTGAATTTCTGTTCTGCATGTGATACAGACACTAGGAGGCAGCAAGCTATGTTCCTAGTATCTACAGTAAGCAGTGGGATCACAAAAACACAAACCTACTGTATATTCAAGGGCAAATCCATAGCAGTAATACACAAGAGGAAGAGAACATAAGCTCTGAGGCTATATCACAACAAAAGACCTGTCCTGTTCCCAGGCCTTTCCCAACACTATTTTGAGCAAAAAGGCACATGAGGAATGACCAGACTTTAATGATAGAGAAGGACAGAATAGGTTACAGAGGGAGCTGAGATTTTATTTCAAGTGGTAGAAAACGATATGGATGCAACACTAAATATTTTAATTAGCTAGCATTTCATAGGAACATGTAAAAGCAGACCTACTATACATTGTAAAAAAAAAAAAAAAATCACATATAAGACATACTGAGACATGAATACCTGAAACTTAATCTGGTTTGGGCAGGAAAAGTATCGACTCTGAGTGCAGGGAATAAAAAACAGTAAGATACAAGTGTGAAGAGCATTAATTTCTCTTTATGCTTCTAGATGTTGACCTGAGCAGCCACATTCCTGGTATTGTGGAGGAGATGACACTCCCAGATGTCAAGACATTTGTTCGTAATCACAAAGTACCAGAACCTGTCATAGATCAAACTCTTCGGGACTATGTTAGTGATACATCTGAACAGAAGATTAAGCTGTTTCAAGTCTGGTATCAAAGACATGGGATGAAAGGAGCCTATGGAACCCTAATAAGCAGTCTGAGAGAGTTTAAAATGTGTACTGCGGCTGATAAAATTGAGCAAAAGCTGAAGGCAGCTGTTTCCAGCTCTCAGGAAGGGGGACAGTCTTATGATGATGACACTGAACAAAGCAAAATGTGCACTCAGGAAGGTAGAAATTCTTACAACAATAGTGCTGAGCTAAGTAAAACCTACTCTGTTAGTTTGGAAGAGACATAGCATGGAATAATTTGAAAATTATTTCTGACTGAATTAACGTTTTTGTAATAATATAAATAATACAGCTTTTAAATGCCAGTTTCATTGGCAGTTCTGATTCTTTCAAGGAGGTTATACTATGAACAAGAAAATATATTATTTTTGTAGTAATATCTTTCCTTTAACAAAGGTTTTAGCTTTTGTTTAGTTGTTAAGAACTGGAAGAAGTTTTATGGCTTATTTACTAAAAGGTACAATATAAGAGTCCGGCTATAGGATTCACTAGAGGAAGAAGGAAGTAGTAGTCATTATTTGAAGACAATGTTTAATCTAAATACCTAGGCCTGCATTACTGAATCAATCTAATGCTTGGCTTACTTTCAAATTGTGGGATGTTGCATTTTTCAGAGTGAGAACTCTGGTATCAAGAATCTATGAAGTATACCAGGAAGAATACTTCAGAAAAAAATATTAATTTTGACTATAGGTGTTGCTGTATAATTAAATTCTACTCTGTTGTAAACAGGTTTTCTTCCTTGTAAAAATGCACTTGTCTGTGCGTGTATAGAAGATTTTGTGTGTGTGTATTTATACGCATGTATATATGTGCAAGTTTTTCTCCCAGTGTTAAGTAAAAATTATTATTTCCCTTGTTCTCTGCAACAATTGTAAGCTTTTTCTGATGTTAAGCCCTTCAAAGAAGCAGGAGCTGAAGCAGCCACACAGAACCACGATTTTTGGAAGGCAGCCTGCAGGAGCTATGAATTCTCTACAAACAAGTGTGCAGCACTCGCTTTTCTAATGCAGAACTGACACAATGAAAACATCGTTGCTATTAAAAAAAGAAAGTCCACTTAGTGCATGACTTCTGCCTTTCCTTCTTAAGGTGCAACCTATAGGTGTCATTTTTAGGTTTTCTTTTACTCAAGTTAGTAAATCACAAAACAGAAGATTGCTCTCCTGAAAAAACACACCTTACCTTTCTTCCATCACTGAGCTCAGAGCAGTCTGTTAGATTTCTGTTAGATTGGATATTCGGAGGAAGTTCTTTACTGAACGAGTGGTGAGGCACTGGAACAGGCTGCCCAGGGAGGTGGTGGAATCACCAACCCTGGAGGTGTTTAAAAAAAAAGCAGATCTAGCACTTAAGGCTGTGGTGTAGTGGTTAGGTATGCTGGGATGAAGGTTGGACTAGATGATCTTCAGAGGTCCCTTCCAACCCCGAACATTCTGTGATTCTGTGATTCAGTCAGCTCCTAAATTCAAAGGACCAGTAGTGCTGGATGCTCTGCAGCAAGGCCTTTCCCACTCACACACCCATTTATGCAAAGCCTCACAAAATCTTGCAACAGAAGAGGAAATGTCAAGGGAAGGGCCTGATTTTTCATGCAGTAAGCAGGATGACTTTCTTTGGCTCTACCAATTCCCTAGAGAGAACCTCCAATCAGTATTAACCCTCAGCCAAAATATGAAGAGACCTGCCTGGGCTTGCTCCCACCCACCTGGGAGTGTGCTGGGGTGTGCTGGGGTGTGGGGTAGGGCCCTATTGTTTCCACCTGGCCTTGGGAGTGTGGAAAGGGCAGGGCAGGCCTGGCAGCAGGGTTCGAGGTGCTGGCAGGCAACACCAGGCACCCACAGCTTCTTGGGCTTGCTCCAAAAGGTCACGATGCTGGAAGAGAGGTGCCTAGGAGGGCAGCACGTGGCCCTTGAAAACAGCTGGAAAGCTGTGTATGGCATTAAGAGATGCCTAAAAGGAAAGGCAGGACTTAGATTAACTTCAAAAACTTTAAGCCTTACATAGACTTAGAATTGTAGAATCATAGAATGATTTGGGTTGGAAGAGACCTCAAAAATCCTTAGTTCCAACCCCCCTGCCATGGCAGGGACATCTCACACTAGATCAGGTTGCTCAATGCTCCATCCAGATGAGCACTCCCGGGGATGGGGCATCCACAACCTCCCTGGGCAACCTGTTCCACTGCCTCACCACCCTCAGGGTAAAGAACTTCCTCCTCACATCTAGTCTAAACCTATGCTCTTCCAGCTTCCACCCATTACCCCTCGTCGTATCACTACAGGCCCTTGTAAAAACTCCCTCCTCAGTCTTTTTCAGGCCCCCTTCAGATGCTGGAGGGCTGCTGTATGGTCTCCCCTGAGTCTCCTCTTTTCCAGTCTGAACAAGTCTAACTCTCTCAGCCTGTCCTCGTAGGAGAGGTGCTCCAGCCCTCTGACCATCTTGGTAGCCCTCCTCTGGACTCACTCCAACAGCTCCATGTCTTTCTTGTGTTGGGAGTTCCAGAGGTGGAAGCAGTACTCCAGGTGGGGTCTCACAAGGGCAGAGTAGAGGGGCAGAATCACCTCCCTCGACCTGCTGGTCACACATCTCTTGATACATCCCAGGATGCAGTTGGCTTTCTGGGCTGCAAACGCACACAGTTGGCTCATGTTGATCTTACCACCCACCTACATGCCCAAATCCTTCTCCCCAGGACTGCTCTCAATTCACTCACTGCCCAGCCTGTATCTCTGCTTGGGATTGCCTCAACCCAGGTGCAGGACCTTACACCTGGCCTTGCTAAACTTCATGAGGTTGGGCTGGGCCCCTCCCTCAAGCCTGTTGAGGTCCCTCTGGATGGCGTCCCTTCCCTCCAGCATGTCAGCCAAACCACACAACTTTGCGTTGTCGGCAAACTTGCTGAGGGTGCACTCGATGCCACTGTCCATGTCACTGACAAAGATGTTAAATAGTACCTGTCCCAGTACTGATCCCTGAGGGACACCACTTCTCACTGGTCTCTACTTGGAGATTGAGCCATTGATTGCAACTCTTTGAGTGCGATCTTCCAGCCAGTTCCTTACCCACCAAGTGGTCCATCCATCAGATCCATGTCTTTCTAACTTGGAGACCAGGATATCATGAGAAACAGTGTCAAAGGCCTTGCACAAGTCCAGGTGGATGACACCAGTTGTTCTGCCATCGTAAATTGATTCTGTTACTCCATCATAAAAGGCCACCAGTTTTGGTTGGAAGAGACTTTCAAGATCATTGAGTCCAATCTTTGTCCTAGTCCTATCCACACTGCAAAAACACGTCTGTCAGCGCAACATCTACCCATCTCTGAAGCACCTCCAGGGATGGTGACTCAACCACCTCCCTGGGCAGGCTGTTCCAATGCCTGACAACCCTTTCAGTTAAGAAATTCTTCCTAATGTCCAACCTGAACCTCCCTTGGCACAACTTAAGGCCATTTCCCCTTGTCCTATCACTCATCATTAGGGAGAACAGACCAGCCCCCGCCTCGCTATCTCCCTTCAGGTACTTGTAGAGAGTGATGAGGTCTCCCCTCAGGGAGGGGAAGTCTGAAGGGCAGAGCATGTTCTGTTGCCAAGCCCAGACCCAGTTGTACAGCTCTTCCCCAGGTGTCAAGCATCACATAGATGCTAAGTACTCAGAAAAACCTTGCACTCCACTTTGGAACCTCTTGCATTTAACCTGTCTGCATTTTCTAAGCAGGTGGTTTAACAGCCAAGCGCCAGACTTGTGCGCCTGTGGACTCGCGTAGCATTGTATAAATGACTTATGTCTGTGCTGTGTACGCATCTGTGTGTACACATGCTGTGATAGTATGTTGCTCATTGCCGTGTTTTGGCCAGGCTTCACTTGTAAGGGAGAATAAAATGCCTGCTTTTCAGAACAGGAGCATGGCAGTGGTGTAGGCTGTGCCGTCTTTCCTAGGTTGTGGTTATGCAGGAGAACAGCCAAGACAGGAAGGAAAGCTCCATGCTCTCACAAGCCCTGGTAGACAGGGTGCTCCTTGTACCATGTTCCACCCAGGAAGGCATAAATGTAGCTTAAAGGTATGTTGGCAGGTTCTTATCTTGAACTTTGGCTTTTCTTGGCCTCTAGCTTTGTCTCTCAGAGTGAGGCATCTGGCCACCAGAAACTAAGCTTGTCCACCTCTCAGAGCTTCAGTGGGTGAGTTAGTATAACTGAACTGAACCAGGCAGATCTTAAAATGGAGACACCAAACCTCATAAACTTGTGGCAGTGAAATAGAATGAGAAATTTTTCTTTCATCATACTGGAATTCCCCAACCTCAGTATAACGAGGATGGTTAAAAAAAAAAGTCCCTGAGCAATGAGTCATATTCTCCTTAGGAGACATCTGCAAGGCTGAACCCAGACTGCCATTAATTCTAGCAGTTAGCATAACTTATAATTGTTTTTCTTGACTGGAACACTGGGCATCAAATAAGAGGACTGTTTATATTGTGCAGCTGCTTTTCCAAAGGAGTGCACATGTGTCTCCATTGCAGCCAGCACTACAGCTTAGAGCTATCTGATCAAGTTTAAAGTACCAGGACTAGGGACTAAAAGTGATTTAGTTCTGGTGATGCACAGTAACATACCCAACTTTCTACTACCTCCTGCTTCTGGCCTCATTTTCAGACTAGGGCTGCATAAGAAAATCATGTCAAGCACATGATAATAGCAGTGTTACACCTTTCACTCTCACCTTTTATTCTCAGAAAGAAAGTCCATGCAGACTCTTAGGCTGATAAACAAGACAGCTGCCACTGCCTCAGCTCTTCCCCAAAATATGGTTCTGGTATCTTTATGCTCTGCACTTTGCACATTTGCCAGGACCAGCCTCTTTGTCTCCAGCAATGAGGATGTGTCATGAGCAGTGTAAAATAAACCTTTTCTCAGCTTCGGGCAGAAGAAAAAAATAAAAAATAAAAAATTTAAAGCAACAGGCATTACTCTGAAAAACAAATCTCTCCTGCTTTATGGAAACGCAGCATCAGAAACGCAAGTGAAAACTGAAACAGAAACTTGCCCAGGGAATGACTTGGCACGGTTTGAAAAGCAGATTACAAAGGGGAAGCTCCCTCTTCAGGAAGCCAAAACTTTGCAAAATACTTGCATTTGTTATTTAAATAGTAAAACCAGAACAATTGTTATCTAAAAATAACAATAATAGAAGAACAAGAACATAGAAGTAAAAGGCCAGAAGGAA